CCCCCCACCACCCCCGGCGCCAGGGCAGGTTTCTGGAGCTCAGCTCCAGTTCCTCGGGGTCAACTCTGCTCCCCGTTTCAAACCCTCTGTGCAGAGTTCTGGATGTCTGCGAGGGGGGCAGGAGGTAAAGGGAGTCGACTGTTTCTCTTTCTCCAGATCCTCCCAGGATCTGTGGCTGATAAGTGTGTATTTGAGATAAATATGTTGTTACCCAAAACATTATTTCTTTACCACTCCGTTGTAAACAAACAGGGGGCTGGCCAGGTTGGTCAGCCCCCACGGGGAACCTAAGGCCTCCTGTTGAAACAAGGCCTGGTTTTTGCTGAGGTCGCACTCAACGCTCTTTGGGAAAATCTGCGGGGCCGAGCTGACGGCTGACGTCAGCTCAGTCGCTGGATGGAGCGCTTCCTTTTCAGTGGGCGGGGCCAGTGTGCCCTCCGGCTTCCTCCCGTCCAGCCAAACAGGGTTCCACAACGGGCTGGGGGCTCAGTCCTGCTGCACCCCAGAAATACGGAGGGGAACAGGCAAAATAAAATAAAATAAAATAAAATCTCAGTGCTGGTTGATGAAAGTGGCCCCCAGCGGTAACACGTGGAACGGGGCTCATCTCTTGGCTACTGGATTTTAAAAAAAAATTTTATTTACTTATTTTTAGAGAGGGAAGGGAGAGATAAACATCAGTGTGTGGTTGCTGGGGGCCGTGGCCTGCAACCCAGGCATCTGACTGGGAATCGAACCTGCGGCACTTTGGTTCACAGCCCGCGCTCAATCCACTGAGCTACGCCAGCCAGGGCTGGCTACTGGATTTTGGCCACACTGGGGGACTTTCGGCCCAAGCGCTGAGGCCTTATTTTTGCCCCCCCACCCCGACTGTTTTAGGGTATGTCTGTAAGAGGTCCTGATGTGGAGGCAAAAACTTGGTGACCTCGAAAAGAAACAAGGGTGAAACAATGCAAAAAACCCCACTCCCAGTCAAGTGGCTTTATTCACAGCGATGAGCGAGTTCCAGCCGAGTGGACGTTGAAGTGCCGCTCCAGTGGCCGCGAGGAAGCGTGGACCAGAGGAGGCCGGAGGCCCCGCGCTCAGCAGGCAGTCCCAGTTCCTCCGTGGCGCCCAGGCGCCCGTGGACAGCAAGCCGGAGGGTCCCCTGGGGGAGGCTCTCCCGGGGGAGACAGGAGGACGTCCGTTCCCAGGTGTCGAACTAACAGTGAGACAAAGTTGCGTGCCGCCACCTGAGGACACGGGGCCCGCGAGGCAAGCAGCTTGTTTGGGGAAGGGCTGCAGGCAAGTCGAGGAACCTGCGTGGAACGCTTCCTCGCCCGCCTCCTGGCCGGCAACCCGCTTGCCGATCCCTGAGCACCTCTAGCGCGTGTGCGAGGAAGCCACCACCGTCAGGAATACAGCTGTAGTGACACTCAGGTCCTCCCGTGAAGATCTCACACACGTGCATTTAGTAGTAAGGGCTTCTGCGCCCGCCCCCGCCCGCCCTGACCAGCAGCCCTGCGCACAGAGCGCCCGCCGCCCGCCAGCCAGGCCGAGAGCCCCGGCTCGGCTCGGGCACCTGGGACGGTGCCGGCGGGCGAGCGTGTCGAATGCTTGCTGTGCAATAAACGGGCGTGTGCGAACGTGAACCAAGTGTGAGAGACGTTCCGGTTTTGGGGAGGCTGTCTCCTCGGAGGCATCACCTTGGACATCACAGTGCTCCTGAAGACCCCCGGAGGCCCCCGCGTGCAGCCCTGCAGGCTGCCGGCTGATGGAAGAGCCACGGGCGCCTCTCCCGTTCCCCACGACCAGGGCCCCTTGGTGCCCTAGGTGTCCCAGGTGTCCGGGCCCCCACTCTCGCCGTGCCCCACGGCCCCTCCCCATCAGCCGTGGGGTCCCAGGTCCTTCCTCTCCGGACCCAGCCTGTTGGCTTTAAAATTAGCTGGAGAACGCTAAGAATGGTTTGACTCTGCACCCTTCATTCACTCCACTGCTGTCGACCCCACTCCAAGGAGCAGCTCCAGCCTGGCGGGTAGCGAGTTAACCGAACACCCCCCCCCCACACCCCCCCCCCACCCCCCATTCCCGGCCTCCCCGGTCCTGCTCGCCCAGCCCCCACGCCACGCCTTTGTCGCCGTCTCCCCACCGCATCCCTGGCCCCTTACTTCCGGGTGGCCTTGATCAAACAGGGGTCACATTTGGCATCTGGGGAAACAAAACGAGGTGGCTCATCTTTTTTTAAAAGAGTTTATTTACTTATTTTTAGAGAGAAGGGAGAGGAAGGAGAAAGAAATTTCAATGTGTGGTTGCCTTTTGCACGCCCCCTGCTGGGGACCTGGCCCGCAACCCAGGCGTGTGCCCTGACTGGGAAGTGAACAGGGCCCCTTTGGTGTCCAGGCCAGTGCTCAGTGGACTGAGCCACACCGGCCGGGGCTGGGTGAGGCTTTTTGTTGTGCGTAAACGGCCAAGTCAGGAAACACCCCTGGGCAGACCCTCTGTCTCAGTTTGAGTTTTGAAAACAGGGCCTGTGTCAGACTCTAAAAACAAAACCCCAGGCAGAACAGAGAACATCACTCAGGCTCTGGAAGTGGGTGGTCAGCCTCAGCTTTGCAGGTGACTGAGGACGTGCCGCCCGGGCTGGGGGAGGGGCCGGCTGGGGGAGGGGCCGGCAGAGGGCAAACTGCCACTGGACCATCCCAGCCACCGCTGCGGCTCACTCTGCCCCCTGGTGGCAGACAGCCTTTGGTTTTGGCATTTTTCTCTTAATTCCTAGAGGAGCCCTCAGTATGAGTTTGAGAAGAAAGTGAGTGAGAGAGCCTGAAAGCAGTGCTGGGGGAAAGATGAAAGCATTTGCAGGATGGTGAGAAAAGTTCTTTGAAAAGGAGAAGGAACACCACTCGGATGTTAATACAAAGAGACGATGGTTTCGGGGTCTGACCTCACTCTCGCCCACACGCAGGCCAGGCCACCCCGGCACCAGAGGCCCGGCTGCCTGGCGGGGGAGGGGAGGGGAGGGCGGCACCGGGGCAGGCAGAGGGGCAGGTGCCCACGACAGACGGCGGCAGCATCCCATCCAGCCGGCCACACGTTTAGGTTGGCATTTTAGGACACGGAACCCGGACCAGGCCACAATGGGGACAGGCCTCCGACAGAAAGTCACACCAACAGCCCAGTGGCAGGAACGCTAACTGACTGGTGAAAAGCCTAACGTTGAGCAGAGAAGCCCGGATTCACCTGATCATACCTGTTTTTGGGGGGAACTTGGGAGGCGCTGGCGCGGGGTGCCGTCTGTGCACACACACGCCCGTCCGTCCCCCGGGGGCACCGCGCTGACAGCGCCTCACCTGCACTCCCGCCCACACGGCCGTTTTCCCGGGGCGGGTGCTTCGCAGCCCCCTCGTTCTCAGTCAGGTGAGGGACAGAGGCAGGCGAGCAGGTGACGGAGGAGGGCAAGAGATACAGGGCCTGTGGGTCGACCCCCAGGTTTTTGTAGCAGAATGGGCCAGGAGCCTCAGCAGCTGCCCGTGAGCGGGAGCAGCCTCTCTGAGTCTGTCCCTGATGTAATGACACAAGCCATCCACCGGATGCTGGGCAGGGCCGGCCGACGGGGGCGCCGACCGTGAACTCTTACAGCCTCGGGGGCATCGCTGGGCAAGTGGGCACCTCGGGAGGCAGCAACTCTCGGTGCTTCTCACGTGTCGCTGGTCCCACCCACAGATCCAGCCCACCCACTCGTCATTGTGTCTGTGTCCACGCAGCTGGCTCTGGGGACAGTGCAGATTCACAACCCGCCAGCCTTGGGGTCGGCCAGCGTGGTCCCACAGGAGGCACACAGGACCCTCTCTCACCCAGCGTCACGCAGCCCTCGGCGTGCCACTGAGCTGGCGGGGTTGACACTCAGCAGCAAAGACAGGATTTGACAAAAGACAGAGCCTTGGGCCATAGAAGGACCCCAGAGAGCCTTGGGGTCTCCCTGGACCCCAAGTCCAGGAAGACAAAGGAGAAGAGGGGAGCTGAGCTGGGCGGCCACCGGCAGCCGACACGAGGGCCAGCACAGGGCGTCTCTTCACGTGCTCGGGGGTGAGCACGGCCTCCACCGCGTCCCTCACCGGCCAGGGCAAGTCCGCCCGCCCGTGACTGGCACACAGACAGCACGGCCACGTGCAGGGCGGGAGGGCGACGCTGCCGCAGGCCCCCCGGGCCCCCACGTGGAAGCGATGGCAGGGCTTCCTCTAGACACTTTCCTTACAGGTGACAGAGTCACACCTCACGGGCAGACACAGTCTGCAACGTCGGAAGCCCAAGTGTGGCCGTGAAAAGGACATCTCGGGCTGAGACACGCGCTCTAGTGCCACCAGTTCCCTGGAGTGAGACACCGCGCTCTCCCGCGGAACTCCGGCCAGACCGGAGGGAGCCGGGAAACACGACACAGAACACTCAGCCGCGGCTCACAGACCGAGGGAGCGCGCGGGAACGCTGCCTGGCAGGCGGCGAGGGACTCCGGGCACGCGAACGCCCACCAACCCCAGCATCGTGCCGTCCTCCCGGACCCTCGCCGCCCCTTATGCTGACACACGGCACACGGGGCCCCGCGGCCCGGAGACCCTGGGGCCCGAGCCACCAGCCTTCTCTGGGCGCCCGCCACGAGCCCAGCACCAGGGCGGGCTCGCTCACGCGTGCGGCCCCGCCCTCGCTGATTTCACTGCGAGTTTTCACTTCTTTAAATCAATTCTGGGTTTTAAACGCTGGAGACGTGATTCAGGTTTTATTCAGAAAGTCTGAGGTCTCTGCCTCTGTCCAGCTTAGCCCGACCGTCACAGCAGCCACGAGCAAGTGGGAAGAAGGAAGCCGCCCCTCAGGCCTGGGGGTGCCGGGAGGGCCCGGCCCCCCCCCCCCAACCGCGGCCATGCTGCCCCCATCCAGGGCACAGAGCTGTGCGGCCGCTCCCCTCCCCCAGGGCCACTATGGGAGGGGCAGCACGGGACGGTTCTGGTGTTCTCGAAGAAGATTCAAAGGTGTAAAATGCATTTCATTTTTATTAAATAATGGAAAGGGCTTCCTTGGCACCATCCACACAGATCCTCGCCTTTACGCATGAAACAAGCCACGTGAATTTGCACCGGCAGCGGACAGACAAGCTACTGCAGCAGACGCTACGTGAGCGGACTCATTCCAGGAGCGGCCGCACTCGCCGGCCCTCCCGGGGCCTGCAGGGGCCGACAGGCCGCCCTCCCGGGGCCCGGGCCCTGGCCGCCGCGATGGCACGTCCTCCGACACAGCCCAGAGCGGCGCCCGGTCACCTGGAGGAACTGCGCTCTTTGCTCACGCAGTCGTCCTGGGAGGCGGTGTCCCCGTTGCCCACCATGCCGCAGGTCCTCCTCTTCTTCCTGCGGTGCGTCGTGCCATCCCCTTCGGACCCCGACTCGCACTGGGCACACGGAGAGACACGGGAACTCAACCCGATGGGGCCGCGGGGGATGGCCCGCACACTGTCCACCTCCCCCCGAGGGAGAGCGGCTGCCCGTGAGCGCCCCACAGTCCAGCCTGGGCGGCCGCCGCCCTGCACACTGCCAGCTCCTGGAGAACGCGAGTCTCCCGGCAGGCGGCCAGCGCCCTGTGCTGGCCGGCGGCAGGGCCGTCTGGCACCCGCACAGCTGCTCTGAGGACGCGTGCGGGCGCTCCGAGACTGCGCCAGGGGGCCTCACTCGGCCCACGCTGCCCGGGCAGGAAGGCGAGCACCACGCTTACCACTCACGGCATGCGCCCCGCCCCGAGGACGGAGTAGCCGGCGGGGCAGCACCGAGGGAACAGGAGTCCCGCCTGCAGAGGGCGCAGGACGTGCGCGCCCAGCGTTAGGGAAGCTTTCAGCGGTCCCTGAATTTGCCGGGTTTCTAGGCTCACGATTTACCCGGCCCCCGGGGGAAATCCTTGACCTGGACTTTGTGCCCAGAACGCTCGCAGTCTGGGCGCCCGACACTGCCGTCTGCTGGCTGTGTGGCCCCGGGCCATTCATTACCGAAACCCTCAACTGCTCTTCCCCCTCCCGAGGCCACCGCAGTGACCCGCAGACTCGCAGAGCTACCAGGTGGGCAAAGTCCCTCCGCAGCAGGAGTGAGAGGCTGGGGCCCGCCACTTTCTCCTGCCTGCAGGGCAGGAGGGCGAGTCGCCCCAGCGTCTATTGGGGGGGGGGGCCCGGCCCCGGAGGCCTGGCGGGGGAGCGGGCCTCACCTCTGAGTCGGAGTCGGACGAGCTGGAGCTAGAGGAGCTGGACGAGTCGCTGGAGCTGTCCGAGGCGATTCCCGTGGATTCCTGCAGGTCAACGGAGTCCGCCAGGACCGCCAGCTCGGGCCGCTCCTGCTTCAGGATCCTGGGGCACAAGAGACCCTGTTCTCAGCGCCGGGGCCCGCAGCGACGCCCGCACACGATCCAGGCTGGGCCGGGGGCCGTCTGCCCCAGAGGCGCCCGCTCGGACGGATGGAGGACTGCAGGGCGGCGAGGACCCGGATCCGCAGGCTGGGAACGAACGCCCTACCGCGCCGTCAGCTTTCCCAGAGGAAACTAGCTCCACGTGACCCCCCGCCGCCTCTCGAGGGCTGGGGCGCGCCTGCGGGGGGGGGCAGCGTGGCCTTGACTCAGTCTCCGAGTTTTCCCCTCGGGGGGAAGTCTGTCGTCATGCTCTCCCTGAACTGCCCCTAGCTGGTGTTTTTAACCTCCCTATCCACAGCACAGCGCTTAGCGGCTGGCGTCGGGCCGGTGAGCCTCTGTCTGTGGGAGGACACGACTAGGTCTGTGAGAAATGAGAAGTGTCCAGCACAGAGAGGGCCCCTCATCAGGGATGGAACGGACTGGGCCGTCGGAGGCCGCAGCCCACTCCGGGAACTGTGTGGCATCCACTGTGACCGAGGACGAGACCCTGCCGCAGGCAGGGCCGTCGGAGCACGCGGCAGCCCGCAGGAGGGAGCACGGGCCTCTCTGCCTGCGAGTCTGGGGAGAACGGGCCGCCGCCCCTGCTGGCCCTCTCAGCAGGGGGGCTGAGCTGAACCAGCCGCATCCCTCTCTTACCCCGAGAGCTGGTCCCTCCAGGTCAGGGTTGGGACACAGAGGCACGGGGTGGCTGGGGGTGGCGTGCACTGCCGCTGCCCGTGCTGTATCTGTTCTGTGGATAAACAAAGGAGCTAAGTCTCCAGGGCAGTGACCTCACTCGCAAGAACTGAAGGGAGTAAGTTCAAATGGGAATAAGGCTTCTGGGTAAGGGAAAGAAACACCCAACATAAAACCCGAACAAAATGGCTTCCTTTGCTCGAGCTAGCTCTGGGAGGGGGGAGGATCAAAAACAAACACCCCTCCCCCCCAAAAAAACGAGAAACAATCCCAATCACAACCATGTTTTGACTGGCTGTCTTTGGTCAGCATGCAGCGCCTTCGCCTGTCACCCGAGGCTGGCGAGTGCCCTGCGGGCCCGGCCCGCCTGGGCTCACGCTCCTGCGCCCGGGGCCCCTGCGGCCCCAGCCCCGGCCGGGCCTGCCTGAGCACAGCACGTCTGCGCGGCGGTGGGCTCGTTCCGTGTTTTCTCTGCGGCGGACATCGGAGCAAAGCGAAAGAAAGAAGAAAGTGTCTCTCACCTATACCATTTCCTGGACAACTTTGGTCTCCCTCTTACCGTCTTGTGCCACACAACAGGGAAGTTGGTGCTGCTGGCAAAATTCTGGGTGACGGCCACGGTGGCGTCGAGATTGAGAACGACGTGCCACCAGCCTCCTGAAATCCAACAAGCGGAGAGCTCAGTGGGGCCGGGCTCCGGACACAGCCACGGCCACACCGACTGCACACCACGTCTAGCGGGAACGCCGGGAGTGGGGGTTCCTAGTCCGGAGGGAGCGCCCCGGGCACGGGCCGCCGAGTGGCCATGCTCCTGATCCCAGAGGCACAAGGGACCTGTCCGTGTCACTGGAGTAGGGCTGCGCCTGCTCGTTTTGGGATTGTTTACGGCTGCGTTCCTGCTACAGGGGCAGAGGTGTGTCCTCTCCTGCCCGTCCAAATCAGTGACCCAAACCGTAAAGGCAGAAAGTTCTTCGGCTTCTCGCAGGGGAAGGCCCGACCGAAATCCCTTTATTCGCCACATGTGACCCCTCAGAGGCACCGACTGTGGGGCTGATTCACTGCCACTAGGCTCCCAGTCACTGTATTTCCTGACCTGACCCACCCAGTGCCACATTGTATCAAAACCCCAACTTCCGGAGATTACAGAAGACACTAGGTAAACACTAAGGATAAAAATGAGTTGAACTTTATATGCACAAAGTTTACCAACAGTCACTATGTATTTAGCTGATGAGAAGGGTGGCAGCGGCCCCCTCAAGACTTGCCAGCACCGTGGCCTAGCCCTGTCGGAGGTGGGCACAGGCCCGTGCATGCAGTCCGTGTCCAGAGGGGTTTCTTTGACTCCCTTTATAGGTAGTTCTGCTCCAAAACGACAATTGCTAACTTCGAGGAAAGACCCCGTTTCAGCTCATCTGTACCTGGTACAAAGACAGTCTCTCCTGGTTTCTGCAAGATTTCCAGGGGTTTGAATTCAGGTGGCCAGGTGGGAAGCTGTGTCCGGGGATAAATGACGTTGAACCAGGTAATAGCTTCATCTTGCTGGTTCCCCCCTTCTTCTCGGGTCACCTTGATGAGTTCCCGGGGCGTGCTGGTGGGAAAAAGACACCAGCGCTTGTGGCCCTGAACCAAGGCATTCCAGGCGCTGGTTCCCAGGGGGTCGATGTGGATTCCGGTTCCGGAGCGTGGGGGCCCCATCACGAACCACCTAAAGGACGGGCAGATCCAAGACGGGAAGAGAAATTAAACTACACACACACACACAGCACAAAATATTATACACTGCACTGTTATCTCTGTTCCAAAGACTACACGCATTTTAGGACACAGAAACGCTGAGTGAATTGTGCGTGAACTGATCCCTAACGGAGAGGAAGAAAAATCACTGGAGTGCCAGCGCCTGACTCAGAAAAGGCAGCTGACAGGGTGCGCCCACAGGTGCTGCTGCAGAGGACACTGTGACGACGCCTCACCTGTAAGGGGGCCGGCGTTTCTCGCCTGCGTACTGGAAAAGGTCGTCAGTGAAGAACTTGGGCACCTTGTAGTCTTCTAGAAGTTTCCTTCTCTTGGGATGTTCACCGTAGCTGCTGTCGAAAATGTACAGGGGGCTGTCATCTCGCGTGCTCTCCATGTACTCGATGTAGTATTTCATCTTCATCTTCACGGAGTAGCCGTCGTTATCTTCCCCACACTTGAACTTCTGGTTCCGGTACTTCCTTTTCAGGCGTTCCAGCGTCCATTTCTCCTGCGCAGACCAGCCCTCTTGGGCGCTGAGCAGAACCACGGGCTTGTAAGGTCTTTCGTATCGCTCCACAAATTCCTCCACCGACAGCTGTAGTGCGTCTGCCCTCTCCACATTATCCTGAGGGAATCAGAAAAGACCTATCCAGTTAAAAAAAAATCAAGCAAATAAGGGTGTCCCCAGGGCCACTTAAGAATGACATATCTAAAGAGACAGCTTTTTGTTCCGGCTTCTATGGGTTTGGCTGGGGGGCGGGGGAAGGACCTGCGTGAGTGCGAGCACGTTGTAGCGTGAGCCACCGCACCACGGGTGGCTTCGAATCTCCCAGTTTTGTGGCCTTTGACAGCCACGTCCCCGAGGGCCTCGCCGTCCAAGGAGATCAAGGGACAACAAGAGTTCTCTTTGAGGGTGCCAAACGCGTGCGAGTCCAGTTGCCCGGGCAGGGGAGAAAGGAGACAATCCCCGGAATCATGGCCCATATGACCCCGACCTCCGCCAGGTGCGGGTGAGCCCATCGGAAGCCCGGGATTCCGCGCTCGGGGCCGGTGGACTGCGCCCCGGCAGAGGTGCGCGACCGCCCGGGGACGCACATGCCCGGCCCACGGTCCCCGCACGCTCACCACCACCGCCGCCGGGTTCAGCGAGAAGCTCTCGTAGTAGTTGTGCCGGGTCCAGTCCAGCGAGTCCTTCAGCTCCGGGCGCGCACTCCGCTTGGCTTCGCGGATCCGCTTCTTGCTCTTGTGGTTCATCCTGCGGGGGTCACCAGCTGGTTCCGCGACGACCTCGGCGCAGCTCGCTTCCGGCCACCAACGCGCCCCTTCCCGGCCCAGGCGGCGGCCGCTCCTGAACGCCCTACGCCTTTAAAGCCTCCTTCCAGAATATTCACTCCCCAACCACCTCCCGGCCTTCGGGTTGGGCTTGCGGCTGCCGTCCTCCCCGCCCCCCGGCCTGTCCCGGTCGGCCATTGGCCTCGGCGCCTCCAGGGCCCGCCTTCACAGACACCGGGTTTCTGCCATGTTGGGAAGGTCCGGCCTGCCCAGGAGCCGTCGCACTGCGGCCGGCCCTCGTACGCCTGCTTCCGGTTACGTCACCTCCGGCAGCGCGCATTTCCGGAGCCAACTTCCGCTAGCGCGCTGCGCGGCCGCCAGTTCTCTCTGTCTCACGTAGCTGGCTTCGGGTTCTGTCTCTTGCGTGCTGTCACTCCGTCGCCCGAAGGGTGCTTCCCCCCCACGCTTGCCGTAGGGCTTTAGGGGCCCGAGGGGCCCCGCGCAGGGCCACGTGGTGCCGGGGAAGCGGCCCCTGTGCGTCCAGGGGCCCCGCGCGGGCAGCCTGGCCGCGCGGCGCCGTCCGCTGCTGCCGGCCCTCCCGGGGGCCACCGACTCTCCTCTGGGCGGCCGTGGTCTCCGAGGTCACGTGGTCCTCGCCCAGCGCTTTCGGTTCTCGGAAGAGCCGGGAGCGGAGGGGGCGGTGCTGGAGGTCTGCGTCCCGCAGGTGCGTGCACCTGCACCCACCCGGAAGGGTCTCGAGTCGTGCACGCCCTACCTGCCTCAGGAGCAGTTCCAGCCTATCTGGGCGGGCGGGGCGGGGGTGCGTCCGCGGCTTCCTGCCTTGGGATGAAGCCTTTGGAGTATTACCTGTCTTTCAGTAAGGAATCTGGGGACCTTGCCGGGAACGGAGCCTCTCCACACCGAATATTCCTGCCAGAAAAATGGAATTCTGGATACCTAGTATTGCCTTTGATCTTCTTGAAAGGCTTCTTAATTAATCTTTGCCTGGGACCGGGGGTTCTAACCCTCTCTGCCCAAGCAAAGTTTTTGGGTTGGTACTCACGTCTTCCTTTCAGCTCACGGTTGCCCCAAAACTCAAAATTGTGCTTTCCATGCGTCCGGTTCTCAAAGCACTTTCACGCTGTAGTGTTTCATTTCGTTTTAACGGCCGCCTGTGGCGTAGATCTTAGTAATAACAGTTTAAAGGTGAGAAACAGCTCCAGTGGGACCCATTTCTGATAGTTTCTAATGCCTTCACCTTGAAATACCCGTTTGGATTTCTTCCCAAATTCAGGGAGTGAAGATCCTCCCTGCGAGAAGAGAGGCCTCTTTTATCTGCGCGGCGCACTCTGCTCAGAAACCCTTCACTGCCCTCCTGGCTGCCGTCTGCCAGGGCAGGCGTTTTTGTCTCATAGGCATGCTGCCCCGCCTGCGGTTAGAACAGTACCTCACATATTTTGGGCACTAGTATTCTTGTTGATTGGGTTAAGTTCAGACCTTAGTTCCTTCACCTTTGATATTTTATTACTTCAGTCCCCTTCCTACCACCCCACTAGGGGCACCCTTTGAGAAAACAGACTTCCGGTTTAATCATTGCTAACTGTATGCGTGTTACATGCTTGGCACTGTATTAAGTGGTTTGCATTGAATTTTCCTAACCATACTATGAGATTGTATTTTGCAATTGAGGAAACTAAAGCACAGACTTCAGTGACTTGAGTGAGGTCGCACACCTAGTACATCGCAGATCTGGAGTTCGAGCTCCAGCAGGCTCGTGATGGGGTTGTGAGCGGCGCTGGCTTGCCTCGCTCAATACCACACCCTCACGACTCTGCGCCTCTCCAAAGGCTTTGTGAACCTGCCGGCCCTCTTAACCCCTTCCGCACTCGGGTCCACTCAACCTCTTCTAGGAGGTCTTCTAGGATCGTATTGCTCCCATTTGCATGCCAAGTTATGCTTGTGCTTAAAATCCTCCAGTGTCATCTTGCGTTTAAAAGCTAAAAGTATAATAAAAAATAAACTTAAAAAATAATAAAATGCTAGACTTCCTGCGGCCTGTAAGACCCCCTAGGTCTGTCTGGTCCTTGCCTTCCCTGTGACCTCTGCATGCTCTGCAAAGCCCTGCCTCTGACCCCTAGGCTGGGCTCTCTGTTGTCCAGTAAGAGGCGTCGGTTCCTGCTTTGAGGCCTTTGTCTGAATCATCCTTTCTCCCTATCTAGGGCAGCCACCCTGTGGCGACTGTACCCCGCACCCCGGGCCACCCCCCACCCCCAGTACTCTGACATCACTGTTTTATTGTGTTGATAGCATTCTCACAGGCCAAAAATAACTTTATTTGCTTGCTTGTTGCCTGTCTCTCCCTAGTAGGATACACAGGCTTCATGAGAGTTACATCTTCAGCCTAGAATAGCTACTAAGCCACTGAGTCTCTAAATAAATGCCCATTGAATAAAGAAAGGAGTGAAGAGGGCTTCTTACCACAGGGTACTGCATTTTCACACCCTCCCACAGGGTGGGAACTGGGGGGTCCTTCTGGAATGGGTGTCCGTGCAGGCACCCAGCCATGGTGTAAGCAAGCATTCCGATTCCAGCACGAGTTGTTGACGGTACACCAACATCCTTTTCAGGTCCTGCACCTCCAGTATGGCATGTACGTCTGGCCCTGTGCTGTGGTGCTGGCCCAGTACCTGTGGTTTCACAGAAGATCTCTGCCAGGCAAGGCTCTCTTAGAGGTAAACGTGCCCTCCAAGTTTCAAAAAAGTACTCGGATTTAAGTCCACATGCTATTTGCTGTTGGTAAATACAGCGTGGGGCAAAGGTACGTTTACAGTTCTGTGCAACATTTATTCTTGTATTAGTATTTTCCATACAAACAACGGAGCCTTCGTTTGCCCCACACTGTATTTTAATTTAAAAAAACTTTTTGTTGACATTTATAGATGTCTACCCTTCCCTCCTGTTCCCCTACTTTGTCCCCCTCCAGTCAGCCCCCAACCCCCAGTTTTTAAAATCAAGAGTAACTCGGCTAACTTGTAAGGTGTGTGAGCGGAGAACAAACTTTACATTTGTGAAGTGTTTAAAAAAAAAAAGAATGGCCCAATATTAAACTGACCCAACTGTCTGGCCACTGACAGTTGCCATGCCTCGATGCTGAGTGAAGCGCATTGGCCGATCTGGCAGGACAGCGCCCGAGGCCATCTTCCCACGGCACTCCAAAAGGGCCACTGGGCTCAGCACAGCGTCCTCCGCACAGATTTCCCATCGCCGAGATCTTGAGGTCAGATTTGAGATGTGTCAGACTTTTTCTCACCACTCTGTGTGACCTGAGACTGCTGGGGGCTTGGAGAAACCACCTTTTGTTGTTGGCAGAGGTGGTAACTTTGCTTCAACTTAAAGGTTAAACACAAACCAGAAGCTTAAGAACACCTGCTTTTTGCTAAACCTATAAATGAAGGGCAGAGAAGGCGTTTGGCATACTTCTGTCCCCAAATGCTGGCAATCGTCAGGCATTCAGAAGGATGGAGAAGCTGTGCCCATCCTCCAACTGGAAAATGGGCAGCTTGTTTCAGTGTTAATACACAGGCAGTCCTTGGTCTTGATCCTTATTGTGTGAGGGCCTTTGGAGGCCCAGATGGAAAATCCTTCTGTAGGAAGCCACACTGTGGACCTGTCAGGCTTTTGTTCACTAAAACCGGCTAAAATCAGTACTGCCCTGACTGGTGGGCTCAGTGGGTTGGGCAGTGTTGTTCGGGGCAAAAGCTCCTGTTTGATTCCGGGTCGGGGCACGTGCCTGGGTTTTGGGCCAGGTCACCAGACATGGATGTTTTTCTCCCTCTCTCCATCCCTTCCCTTCTGAAAAGATCTTAAAAATATAGTACCAACCGGCTGTGCATGTTCAGTCAGTCACGCAGAGCTTCTGGAGACCCAGTGTCCTATGAAAGTGACAGGCGAGTGTCCCGGACTACTTTTCTGGGCTTGCCAGCAATGACATGGCCAGACACACGTGGAGGCTGGAAGCACGGATCCAGTTGCAGAGTACTGGGCTGTGCATGGGACTAGGGCTGCCCTTTGACCCCATTGAGTAATCCGAACTCTTGCCTTCAACAGAGAGCCCAAGCGTCCTACAGTTTAAGGCATTTTTTAAAATGGGGAGCTATCTGCAGAGACCCAAGCTTTTTGCATTCCTAGGCCAACTTTGCAATGTCGCCTTTTACCCTTTCCAGATTGGAGCTGGAGTGAGCCTTCCCGGAATTGTGGCTGCAAAGTGCGGTGCAGAAGTGATCCTGTCGGACAGCTGCGAGCTGCCGCACTGTCTGGAAATCTGTCAGCAAAGCTGCCGACTGAATAGCCTGCCCCAGGTGCGTGTCCTAGGACTCACGTGGGGCCACCTGTCGCAGGACCTCCTGGCTTTGCCACCGCAAGACATTATCCTCGCATCTGACGTGTTCTTTGAACCAGAAGGTAAACCTTTTTTGCTCAGCAGTGAATTTGACCCGAGTTGCAATGTAAGTAGACATCTATTAATAAGCCCTTTCTTCCCAGATTTTGAAGACATTTTAACTACTGTTTACTTTTTGATGCAGAAGAACCCTAAGGTCCAACTGTGGTCTACTTACCAGGTGAGAAGGTAAGCCCTGTTAGTCCTGGTTCACTCAGTTTTTACTCAGTTAAATCAAGCCTTACTAATGCAATGCCAAAGGATAAAATGGAAAGTGCAGCTGAAGCAAAACAGGAAAATTGTAACCTTTAAACGCAAATTTTTTCTCAGTGCTGACTGGTCACTTGAAGCTTTGCTCTACAAGTGGGATATGAAATGTGTCCACATTCCTCTGGCATCTTTCGATGCAGACAAAGAAGACATAGCAGAATCTGCCCTCCCAGGAAGACATACCATTGAAATGCTGGTCATCTCCTTTGCCAAGGACAGTCTCTGAACTACACCCACAAGCTGTTTTGGGACAGTGCCGGGACCCGGGCCACTCCGGCCTCTTGGACAGTGCGAGCAGCGGGCCCAAACATGGTCTAGCTGTTTGCTGGCCTTAGATCGCGGTGGGTCACCTGGGCAACACCCGTGGGCTCCATAGCCATGAAACAAATTAAAACACTTATTAAGAAAAGGACTCAGATGGTTCCTGAGTTATTGAAATAGGGCATCATTTAGGTGATGAGAAAGGAGTACCCCTGGACTCAAAAGTGCTACCTTAGGGCATTGATTTCAGGGAAGGTGGGTTCTGAACTGGCATTTGCACTTTAAAAAAGTCAGCCAAACATTTTATTCTCATACGATACAGTCAGTAACATTCACAGAAAATTGCACAGGTCTTTCAAATAAAGGGAGGAAAAAAGACAGACATGTTCTGAAAAAGCTAACACCAAGAAAATGTTTTAATTAAACTATAGAAACAATGGTTATAGTACAGAATATTTATGAGCAAAAAAGATACACCATGTTTTAAGTACTTACAAAGTTACAAACCATTTGCTTCCTTAACATTTTTCATATTTTAAGTTCATACATGAAGATGATCATTTTTACCATTTGGTGGAGTGGGGGTAGGAAAAAAAAGGTGTATTTATCACCAGCTAGATGTGCTCACTGTATGCTCCGTAATTTATATGCAAGGCCCGGGTGACTGGAAGTGCAGTTGTCAGGCATTTAATAAACTGGACAGCCATTTGTTTCTGCACGACAAGGCATCTTTACACAGGAGCAACCGGGAGAAAACAGGAAACAGCCAAGCACTCTGCACTGCAACACGCCACCTTAACAGCTAACCAGCATTACTCAACTGCTACACAACTGCGCCTAGTGCACAAAAATACACAAGAGAAGAGATTAGAATTGTGTTTGGTAAACAATCCTTTCAAAAAAAAAATAATAATCAAGTCTTTTCACCTGAAGTCTTTATACAAATTTGGGTTCAGATTACCATTTAGATCTGTAGATAAGTAACATACACAAACAAATTTACACCAGGTTTGTAGGTTTTTAATTCTAAGGAATGAAGGCAATGCTGAGTCAATCTCTTGACAGCTTTAGGCTGTGCGTAATGGCTGCATGTTTCCTTAAAAGTCAGGAGGCCACAAATTTGGTTTACCAATCTGTTTAATTCCAAACAAAAAAAGTCAGCACTATATAAACAAAAAAGAAATTTTACCTCAAATATCCAAGCCAATAATGAAATCTGAAGTTCGTTCACCTCACTAAATTACAAGAAATTTGAATAACAGCAACAAAATGGCACATAAAATGAAGCTTGCCACCTGAGGCCAAGCTTGAAACAAGTAAAAAGTTAGACAAAATGTTACAAAATAACCTTTTCAATAGCCAGTTGCTTGTTCCAAGGACTCCGATGGACTGAGCATGTGGTCCTTCTCCCCAGGGTGTCTGTCACGCTGCGTGTCGCCACATCTAGGTTTGAAGAGAAGCAAGTTCAGTGGACCCGCCAGCACTGGGCCGCGCACAGGGCTTCAACCGGGGCTGGTACTTACTAAGTAAGGCTCCGGGGAAACGAGCGGTTACAGAAAGGTTCCACCCGGCCGTTCTCACAATTTCTTAAAGGCCCAAATTAGGAAATGCTCACAAAGGCTACCGCCAGCATTTACAAGTTTGTGCTTTCTTGGCCAAATAACCAAGGTGAAAAATATTAAGGGGGGGGAAAGGAAAAAGAAAAGGAAAGAAAAAAGAAAAAAAATAGGGCTGTGTCCAAATATCCAAACAAAACAATGTGAAATCAGAAAAACCAGTCTATATTTCAAGATAAATTTAGTTTTCAAACAAAACTTTTGGCGATTGAGAACAATGCTTTAACATCTGAGCTACTTAGGGCCCTTCCTTTTAAAAAACAGGACCAAACAATTTGAGTTAAAGACACACTATCCTTTCCCCACCCGGTGCAATACCTGCAAACTTTTTTGGGTTCCAAAGTTCATTGCTTCGTTTTGCGATTCGTTTGCCACATCCGCTAGAATAGTGTATCCCGGTCAGGCCAACAAGAGTTGACCTGACAGCCTTCTCTAAGAGGATAGTGCATCTTTAACATTTAAAGACAAACCTGCTCCAATACACGCCCACAGAAACTGGTCCCTGGAGGATCAGCCAAATCAGTTAAAATCTGCAATACTGGCCAATATTCTTTTATCAAACAGGAGACCGCAGCTTTAAAGGGGAAAATGCAGACGTTGGATAAAAACAGCAAGAAATAGTCATTTTCATCAATAGGTCTCAAACAGTTTACCAAACAGCCACAAACATCTACGCTTTAAACACATCCTTCCTGCAGGCCCCTCTTCGGCATCGCTCCCAAAGCCGCGTCCGCGCAGGGCAGCGCCCCGGCGTCGGGGTCGCTCCCCATCCACGCGGGCCGGAAACGCGACCGCACACCCCAGCTCTCAGTTCGGGCCCTGCGCCTCGGGCCCCGCGGACATTACCGTTCGCTCACGAGGACACCGCTCCTTCCTCCTCCGGAGACTTGGGGGGGCTCTTGGAGCGCGACCTGGACTTGGACTCCCTCTTGGACACGGGCGGCGGACTCCTGGACCTGGACCGGGACCGGGACCGCGAGCGCGACCTGGAGACCGAGGACGACTTGGACTTGGACCTTCGCGCCGACCTGGACTTGGAGGTTGACCGCGATCTCGAGCGGGTGCGGGACCGAGACTTGGAGCGGCTGTAGCGGGATCGGCTCCGGGACCTGGACCGGCTCCGGCTCCGGGATCGGCTGCGGCGGCGCCGCCGCGGGCTGCGGGCGGAAACAGCAGGCGTCAGGGCTCCGCGATCGGCCGCGCCCCGCCCGCCCGCCATTATCTCGCCGCCAGGCGCCATTTCCCTGGCCGCGCGCCGGGGCCGCCCGGGCCTGGAGAGGCCCGCCCGCCGCCGCGGCCGGGGCCCCGCCACCGCGGAGCGGTCGGGCGGGTCGCAGGACCGCGGCGAGGGGCCGCGGCCCCGGCCCGCCACCACGTGTCTCCCAGAACCTTTGTGCGTCAGCTCGGGGCCCCTCCCCATTTACCTGCGGCTCCGGCGTCCGTAGCCGCCACCCCCGTACCTGCGGGGTGGCGGTCCCCGGCGGCTGTGGTGCGAGTCGGGGGGACGGCCGTAGCGCGCCATCTGCACCCGCAGCTCGCGGCCATCTAGGACGGCCCCGTCCATGGCGTCCATGGCGTCCTCGGCGTCGCGCTTGTCGTGGAAGCGGACGAAGGCGAAGCCGCGGGACTCCTTGGTGTAGCGGTCCCGCGGGATGTACACGTCGCCGACGCGCCCGTACTTCTCGAAGACGCGCCTCAGAGTGTCGGGCGAGGTGCGGTAGGTCAGGTTGTCCACCTTGAGGGAGGTCATGCCCTCCACATCGGGAGGCGGGCGGCCGTAACTCATGGCTCGGGAGAGTCGGCCGGGCCCTGAGACTGCGCGCCTAAAAACTAACGCCCTGGGCGGGCCCGCGCGTTCGGCCGAGGCGGCGGCGGCTCCCCCACACTAGCTCGGCTGCACGCCGCGCCTCCCCGCCGGCAGTTGGCTTCCTCGTGGAAACGTCTCTTAAAGCCCAACAGACGACTACAGCGGCCTACTACCGCAGCACACAGGCAACTGGGCAAGCGGCCAACCCCAGCGCGTATTTATAGTCCTCTCCACAAAATGGCGCCCGCGCCACCCACAAATGAACCCTCAGATTGGCTGGCCCCGCAACGTCCCTGCTGCGTGCCCCGCCTCTTTCTGGCGCGCCTGCGCAGAGCCGGGAAAAGCGCGGAGTCACTGCTGCTGGGAGGGGGGAGCGGCGTTTGCCGGCGGTTGGAAAGCCCGCGAAACGCTCCTTCCGGCTGGGTGCTCTGGGGCAGGAGGAAGAGGAGGTGTTCCCCTTTTGGGCTCCGCCTTCTTCTCCGTGCCGGTATCGGAGTTCCGCGCAGCTTTTCGGCTTGGCCTCAGCTCCGCCTCTGTTAGAGGGCGTACTTCTTCCCCCACCTGCGTCTCTACCCCCTGTCGCCTCAGACCCCGCTATGTGGTCTCCAGGTCCCCTCTCATAGTTGCCCCCTCTTTCCCTAGGTTCCGCTTTCAGCCCCCCCTGCGCCACCCCCAACAGGATGGACTCTGCTCCCCTCGGGCCGGCGAGCTCTCGCGACGTTCCTGCCATTCTCGGGCCGCGCAGGGACTGCATTTCCCAGCGCGCCCAGCGGGCGGCGCCAGGGCTGCGGTCAGGTGACCGGGTCGTCTGACCCGCGTCGCTTGTGGGCGGGTTCGCGCGGGCGGGGCCGCGCCGGCCTGTGCAGCTCGCCCTTGGCCCCCTAATTCCCCCTCGCGGGCCCCTCAACCTGGGGTGACAACGGTCCTGGCGCGTCTCCGGGTGTCGGACTCTTCCCGACTCGGGTCGCGGCTTAGGAATGTCCTAATCGTGCCGCTGGGGAGAACCGCGCCCTACGCCCGGGGTTCTGATCCGAGGACTGGACGTCGGCAGCCTGGATACTCTGCTCCCGGATCTGTCCGCCTCCCGTCGCCGTCTCTTCAATCCCCCCAGGACCCGCAGTGGGGCCGCCCCGCGGAGAGCTGACTGCCCTGGCCGGCTGCTGACCCCCGGCAGCGTGGAGCCACAATGTCCCCGGAATCTAAAAAGCTTTTCAACATCATCATTTTAGGGATTGCCTTCATGTTTATGTTCACCGCCTTTCAAACTTGCGGGAATGTGGCGGTGAGTTGGGACCTGCTGTTTCTCCTTAGAAGTGCTGCTCCTGATGCGTTCCAGCAAGGATCGTGAACGTTCCTTGTCCCCACCAGCGCGCTTGCATTGCGCCTTTTATTCTCACAGCCTTCCTCGTTTTGGTTTTTGTTTTTATGACTTGGTTTGATTTCATGTGTCAGACGTTTCTTTTTAATATATAGGCATGTGAAACATTGCCGTTTATTCCTCTGATTTGAACCCAGGCCATCTGGCCCCAGAGCCCAGGGTTTTAACCACTGTTATTCCTCTGATTTGACTTTGGGTTTCTACGTTGACTTATTTCTTTTCTTTTCCTGCCCTGAGGTCTGTGTTGCACTGGGAGAGCTCAGGCAGTAAGCCCCAAGGCACAGTTTAAATCCCCCCCCCCCCCACACCGCGCGGTCACTGGTTTGCTCTGTAGTCCTTTTCGTCTCTCC